GCTGCAGGTGACATCTTTAAAGTGTTAAGAGCAAACGTCACTTTGAAGGCTAAGGTTCTGACAAAACAGATTAGTGTTCTCTTTTCTTGAGGAAAAACATGGATTGAAGAGGCAACATGGGTACAAGGAAAAGAAGGTTTCTTTCTATACTCCCTTCCTCTGGTACTGCACTTGGAAAAAGTAAAAGAATTACATTTAATCTTCACATAGCACTTATTATTATATAAAGACCTTAGGTAACCATTGGAGGAGAGACCCCCTGAAATAGAAATTAGTTTTTACTTCTTAATTTGCCAAATTGGCTGTGTATTTAGCCTTTCTGGACTTTTGTCTACAATTAAAAAAAAAAAAAAAAAAGAAAAAATTCTATTGGATGATTTCTAAGGTCCCTTTAAGGTGTAAGATTCTAAGATTTTATTATAGTATATATTCAGACTTCATTAACAAGTTGATTGTTGGTTGCTTCTGTGGAGCAGGGATATAGCTTATGAACTAGTTGTGGTGCAGGGAATTACTTGGTACGGGTTTTCTAGCCATGGTCTTGTGTGGCTCCCACCAGATGAATGGGCGGAACTATGTAAATGTGAGGTGCTTGTGGCCCACCAAAGGGATTGGATACCTTGTTAGTAATGTAAATTAAGGTATATGGCACTCTTGTGAGGGTGGGACCATGGAAATAAGGTGTATGGAAATGTACTGTGGGTATTGGTCAGTTTCGCCATGTTGCTAGACTTGAAATGAGCCATCCCAGAGGCAAAAGGAGGTGATTGCCATCATTGCCATCAGGAAAGAACCAAGAACGGAGCATGTTCTTGTACCCAAGATCTCTGTGCTGGATCTCCTTGGCAGAGAGATGGCAGCAGCAGAGGCAAAAGAACCAAGAGACTAGCATGAGACAGAGTGGCAGGCTTGCTGGCAGAGTGGGGTTCACTATTAGCTGAGCTAAGAGAGCTTTCTAACACTTGCCCCAGCAGGGCAGAGGCCAGGCTAAGAAGCATGCCTGTGGGTCTGGTCAAGGAGAGGCTGTCCTGATTGAAGAATTATTTCCTTAGCATTAGTGAAGCTGAATTATAATCTGTTACTTTCCCAATAAATCCCGTAACTCTGAGTATTGTCTGTGAATTCTGTGTGGACATTGCAATGAATTATCATTGAACTCAACAGAGAAGTAGAGTACCCTGGGAGGGAAGGTTGATGTCAGAATTGGTAAAAAGTTTGGGGGACACTGCCCCCACGCCCTTTTTGCACTACAATTAGCATCCCTGTGATTATTTTTGTTTTGTGCCATCTAGTCATTTTTTACTCATAGCCACCACATGTGAGAGTAGAACTGCCCCTATATGATTAGCATCCTTTTCTGAAAAATGTTGGTCGAGGGGTGAAAAGTGTGTATCACTTATTTCATATGTGTTATTATCAAAGGTATAGAGAGAATATACATGAAATACCTGCATTGGGCAAATCTGCAAAAGACCTCTTTAAAGTGTTTAAGAGCAAAGGTGTCACTCTGAAGACTAAGATGTGCCAAGTATTTTTAACGTCTCACATGGATGTGAAAACTGGTCAGTGAATAAGAAAGACTGAAGAAGAATTGATCCATTTGAATTGTGGTGTTGGAAAGAATATTGAATGTACCACAGAGTGCTAGAAGAACAAACTCTGAGGATGTACAACTGGAATGCTCCTTAGAAGCCAGAATGAACAGACTTCATGTCTTGTACTCTGGTCATGTTAATATCAGAAAAGACCAGTCCCTAGAAAAGGATATCATACTTGGTAAAGCAGAGGGTCAGCAAAAAAGGGGAAGACCCTCAACAAGATGGATTGACACAGTGGCTGTGATGATGGGCTCAAGCACGGCAATTGTGAGGATGGCACTGGATGAGGCAGTGTTTTGTTCTGTTGTACACAGGGTTGCTAAGAGTCAGAGCCAACTCGATGGCACCTAACAACAGCAACAACAATATTTCTATTAGTATAAACAAAAAGCTGTGATATTGGTTGCTCCTAAGGGACTTGAGGAGACCAGTCATTTTGGGCATATAAGGTGAATGCATTTTTCAAATATAAGTTGTCTTTTGTACTCCTATTCTACTCTCCCCCTTGCTTTTTCTCCACTAACCAGATTGGCCTTCTCGGTATTTTTCCAACATACCAATAAGCTCCCGGTTCAAGGCCTTTGCACTCACCCTACTGCTGCCTGGAACATTCTTCCTCCAGATAGATTTCCTCCAGGACACTGCTCAAGTGTCACCTTATCACTGAGACTTCCCTGATTACTCTGTAATTACTCCCTGATGTGTATACTTACCTATACTTAACACATCTGTATACTAAATATCTCATTTGTTGATTGTGTGACTCACTTTTGAAACACTGCCTGGGCCATAACAGGCAATCAACAAATATTTATTGAATTAATCAGTCTGTTTGAGGTTTTTATCACATGGATAAATTACTTTTGCAATAAAAATTAGTCAAGAAATAAATTCTCAAGAATTAACTGTATAAATGTTTATAATTACAGGATAAGGACAACTCCTTTCCTCAACATATAGAGCTCTGTCGCAATGGTTAAGGCATTCCATAAGTAACGGAATCTTGGCTGTTTGAACTCACCCGCCGCTTTGCGAGAGAAAGATGAGGAAGTTGACTACTCCAACGACTTACAGCCTTGGAAAGCCGCTGGGGCATCCATTAGATTGAGGTGGGTTTGGTTTTTCGTATTTACCTGGTATTGGCTAAGACATTTGATACTACCCAGAAGGCTGGCGGTTCAAACCCACCAGCCACAACTAGGAAGGAAGATTCGGCAATCTACTTCTGTAGTGATACTGCCTCGGAAACCCAAGGAGGATCCCACTGGACAGCAGTGAGTTCGATTTGGTTGGGCCATGGGCAAGTAATTTAACTTCCGTTTCCTCATCCACAACGGGCAGCTAAGAATATAATTTCACAGACAGCGCTTTTGTAACCTTGCCACTATAAAAATTACCAAGAATACACTTCCTCTTCTGGGCTTGGAGCCTAGGAATAGTATACAGTTTCAACTTACGCAAACGATTTGGGTGTATGGTGAGAAATGTGTCAAGAGCTGCGCTACGGACTGTAGTCTTTAGGGCTGGGTATACAGCTAGGCTGCCGTTGCCACGGTAACCGTCTGGCGTCCCTAGAATCCGAGCACGCGCGCCTGGGCAGCTTTGTCTAACTTCTTTTTAGCGATAGGTGGAGCTTGGACCAATCGGAGGAGGCCAGGGGTGTACGGGGGCGGGCAGAGGCTCGGGAAAGATGATCCTGAGGCTTTGCTCCTTGACTTCCGGGTCCCGGTGCTGGCAGGGAGCGCTCCGAGAGTAACGTCGTTTCCGTTGCTGGCTCTAAGGGCGAGGTTTGCAACTGGGTAAACCGAGGCAGTTCCAGTTCCCCCTAGTTCTTCCGGTTTGTGAGGTGGCTGTTTTGTTTTTTTTTTTTTCTTCCCTCCACTCACCTTGCACTGCTTGGGTACAGACTGTGTGAGCCCCGCTGTGCGTTCCGTCCACGCGGCCCGGGGCAGTTGGGGCTTTGTACGAGCCGCTCCCTCCCTCTCGCCAGTAGCTGCCCGCCAGAGTTGGCCTGGCTACTGGAGGGTACCGGCTCAGCGATTCTCCGAGATCTGGGCAGCTCAGTCAGGCGCCAAGACTAAATTGTTTCTGAGTGGTTGTTCTGATTCTTTTGTGATGATCAGCGCAGACCAGATAGATTCATTTTAAAGATACAGTTCAGCCCACTTCTGAGAGCAGTTTCCGCACTGTGGTTTGGTGGGAATTTGAATTTGACAATCCCTCAGGCCCTAGTCAGAGATGATGCGTCTGTGGGAATGTTAAAGGCAAGAAGGAGATGAATATTTTTAAGTCTGTCTTCCTCACTTGGACTCCCCTCACCCCGCCTCGGAGCTAAAGAATTTTCGTATCAAAAAGAATCAGTTTTATTGGGGGTGTAGTTTTTCCGCTCTTAGTATGTCTGCCCTTCATCTGTTGAAATGAGAAATCAGTTGGCCAGGGTGTGACCTCCTCCGTGTTCAACGTGTAAACTTCATTTTGTAAGCCTTATTTAAGTGTGTTTATTTGCTGGCATCACCTGAGTATGGAACAGATGGCGTGACTGGAATTATCCATAAGCGTCGAAAAGAGTTTTTTCTTTATGAAAACAGTTTAAGTGTTATATTTTATTTAATCGTTGCTTAGTAGGGGTCCTCTTGTGTTTGAACTGTTGGGTCCCAATTTTGGAAGACTGAGAAATTAAAATAGGAAACATAAGAAATAGAATTGTTTAGGAAAACCTGGAGACCAGTCATTCTTTCAGTCCATTTCATAGATAGATTGACTCTAAATGAGTAAGTTTTTTGTTGTTATTGTTTTGTTTTTAATTTCTACAGTTAATATTTTTAACTGCTAAATTCACTATTTGGGAGCCCTGGTGGGATAGTGCCTAAGGCGTTTGATTGCTAACCAGAAGGCTGGCTGTTCAATCCCACCAGCTACTCCTTGGAAGGGGAAAAAAAACTAAAGGAACAACAGTGGAGTCATACGGGACTCATAGCGACCCCTCCTTGGGTTTCTGAGGCTGTATCACCAAGGGAGTAGATTGCCCAACCTTCCTTCGTACCAGCCTTCTGGTTAGCAGTCAAATGCCTTAGGCATTGTGCAGGGCAATCTACTTCGGTAGAGATACTGCCTCTAAAACCCAAGGAGGGGTCGCTATGATTTGCAATATACTCCACAGCAGAGAGTTTGGTTTTGTGTGAAATTCACTATTGGCCCAGCCATCATGTCATTCATCTAAATGGTGTATATTACTACTGTCATTGTTTTCTTAGATGCTTAAGTAAGCACTAGGACAAAATGGACACAATGGAATAGTAGTTTTGATGAGTTGGATAAACTGTAAATTACATATTTTTTTGTAATTTTAAAATTCAATTTTAAATCATTAAACCTATCTTACATATTTCCTTCTCCAGAAAACATGTTTATTTCTTTATGGGAGTTCTTCTATGGAAACTTTTTTCGATATTGGATGAAATGGATCTTACGGCAGATGACTGGAAAGTGTGAATTGCAACGAATTTTTGATACCTATGTAGGTGCACAAAGGACACACAGGATAGGTAATATCATTTGAAAAGGAGCTTAAAAACTAATTTTAGCTCTGAATGAATATTTTTTTCTCAGTAATTGTAATGACACATACATTCATTGGAGCCCTGGTGGCGTTTGACTGCTAACCAGGAGGCTGGTGGTTCAATCCCACCAGCCACTCCTTGGAAGGAAGATTGGGCAATCTACTTCCATGGCGATACTGCCATCGGAAACCCAAGGAGGGGTTGCTATGAGTTGGAATTGACTCCATGGCAGTTAGTTTGGTTTTACTCTGCTCAAGTCACTAACTGATTTTCATAATCTTTGAAATCTAGCTTTGAACCCTTTCAGCTCTAAATCTATACATTTCTAGAAAAAGAAACTGATTGTTAATTCTCCATATACACAAATGATTATCTTCTGTGGCTCTTTATGTTTATCAGTTATTCCTCAGGTTGCAGCCTATTTTCTGTAGAAAAATATCTATGCTTCTGTAATCCTTTTGAAATTTTCACTCTAATAATGAAAAAGAGTGAGTGTTTGGATTTATAGTCAAGATCCTTTAATTTCAGTCTTTAATTTCTTATTGTTATTTATGGAAGAAAACTAACTAGATATCCAGTGGTTCCAAGGAAAATTATTAAACTCTAAATGCACATTACCAATATGGGAGTCACTAGCCACATGCTTTGAGCACTTGAAATGTGACTAGCTTACATTGAAATGCATGTAATTGTAAATATGCACTGGATTTCAAAGACTTTACATGAAAAAAATGTGAAAATATCTCAGCAATTGTTTATATTCATAATATGTTGAAATTAAAATTTGGATATATTGGGTTAAAAATAAAATTTTATCTGTTTTTTTTTACTCTCTTTAATGTGCTTACTAGAAGAATATAAAGTACATATGTGGCTTATATTTTGGCCACATAATAGAGTAATACTATGCTAAAATCCAACATTTCCTCAATTCTTAAATAAAAATACTGCTTTAAATGAGAGCACAGATGAATGAGAGATGTAATGTGAGGTCACTTCTCTTGGATAATGATAAGGAGGACTAGGTTAAGTGCTGCAGCGCATGTTCACAATCTTATATGGAAAATCATGAATTAACCAGATTTCCTTTTTGCGGGGAACAAGCATACTTCGACTAGAAACCCTGTAAGGTTTGGGGAGTGGGATATTGGCAGTTGGAACATGTATCCAAGACAGCATAGGAAGAATGATAGACATAAAGAGAGTGTAAACCTCAGGACAGCTGGATAGTTGAAGTTTAACTACTTCCCTAGTTTTCTCAGAACTTTGTGTTTGACAGTCATTGCCTAATCTTTTGATTTGCCCTTTTGACTGTTCTGAGAAGAACAAAGTACCTCTTGATAAGAAACCTCTGCAGTCAGTATTGGTTGTATTTTGTAGTGCGGAGGAAGAGCATGTGTTAAAGCTTTATTTTGTGGGAAAAGCAATTTGAATTTTTTAAATTTCTGAGATAAAGGAGACTATTGGAGAATGTACCAGAAAATGTCATTCTTGAAACAAAAGCCAAGAATGGTGAGGCTGTGTTGTTACTTGTCTGGTACCGATATATTTGTCATTTTCTTGTTGCCCCTTTGTTGTATGATTTAGTTGCTGTCGTCTCAAATCTAAATACTTACTCTGTAAGGTTAACAAATGACGACAATGTAGTCGAGATCACTCTCATTCTAGTCCTAAGATGAGTTCTGGGAACTATTCTGAGGCAGCCATGAATGACTTTACAATGGTGAGTAGACAGTTTGGGCTCTGCACAATGACCTGGGGAAAATTAGGTTGGTTTCATTCTTTGACATCCCTAGGTGGCACAAACGGTGTGTACTTGTACTAACCTAAAGATTGGCAATTTGAATCTATCCAGTAGTACTGCAGAAGAAAGGCCTCATACTCTGCTTTTGTTAAGATTATGTTGTTGTTGTTGTTGTTATGTGCCATCAAGTCGGCCCCGACTCATAGCGACCCCTCCTTGGGTTTCCAAGGCAGTATCACTACGGAAGTAGATTGCCCCATCTTCCGGGGAGTGGCTGGTGGGTTTGAACCGCCAGTCTTCTGGTTAGCAGTCAACCTGTAGAGCAGTTCTACTCTGTAATATATGGGGTCATCATAAATGATAATTGACTTGATGACAGTGGGTTTGGTTTTCACCTCTTTGGCTCTGGTGTGTTATGTTTAGTTGAGGTCTGTGAAATAATGCCTAGTTCTCCATATTGTAAGAGAGTGAGGCCTGGTAGCACAGTGGTTAAAGTGCTTGGCGGTTTGAAATCATCAGCCGCTCCATGGGAGAAAGATGTGGCAGTCTACTTCCATAAACATTACAGACTTGCAAACCCTATGGAACAGTACCATTCTGTCCTATAGGGTCACTGTGAATCAGAATCTACTTGATGGCAGTGGGTTGTTTTTTTCTTAATACTATAAGAGTAAAATTTTAAAATGTGTTCTATGTTATTCATATAAAAATTATATGTTCTAGAACTACTGAAGTAATAACTGATTGGCTTGATATTTTTACTGTTTGAATATGGAATAATTTAGAAATTGTAGTTAAGTAGTTAAGTGGTAACTTTCTTTTTTTTTTTTCATTTTAGAAAACTCCTTGACATACTCCAAGAATAAGGTAAGATTATATAAAGGTGATAATCCCAGAAAACTTAATTTGGAGATACTTTTTCTTTAAAAGAATGCCTCAATTTTAGGATGAATTACTTTAAATGCACTAGTAGAAGAGTCTTTGCTATAATGAGTATTGAGTAAAATTTTCCTTGTAAAGAAGTAATACTGTTTTTAGAAATTTTCTGTGTGTGTGTTTGTGTGCTACTCTCACACAAAGGTGTTTGAATACTTTGTCCTGTTCTGAGATTTCATTGTTTATTTTACCTTAAGAGTTGATAGAGACAGTGTACCCATGACTATGTATAGTGTTGGCAGACGATGTTTTTACAGGCATACTTGTATGTGCTGTAAGAATGTCCAGGGATATAGTAGAGCTGACAAGGGACAAGGTTGTGGTGACTTTTGACCACAGCCAGCTACCTGGAGGAAGCAAGTAGTTGGACCTGTGGGCTTGGGACCGTGGTTGCAGGGGACATCAAGCCTAATTGGCATAACATACTACACAAAAATACTGTTCTACATCCTACTTTGGTGAGTAGTTACTAGGGTTTTAAAAGCTTGCCAGTAGCCATGTAGATGCCACGATAGGTCTCTCCTTCTCCAGAGCAAAGAAGAATGAAGGAAACCAAAGACACATGGAAACAATTAGTCCAAGGTCCTGGTAGACCATGTGATCCTCAGCCTATATGACCATGAGACCGGAAGAACTATATGGTACCCAGCTGCACTATTAGCTACTTGGCGGGGGATTGGTACAGGAGATCTTGGATAGAGTGGGAGAATAATGTGGAACAAAACTCAAAATCATAAAAAAGACCAGGTTTGCTGATCTAATAGAGCCTGATGAGACCGCTGAGACTGTCGTCCCTAGTTACCCTTCAGGTCTGGAATTGAGCTCACTGCTGTGGCTTCCAGCCAAATAATAGGCAGGCATATAGGGTGAACATTTACATCAAGTAGGTACACTTCTTGGAGTAATTAGTCATGGAAGAACAGAAGAGCAGTGTTTGCACAGGGAGAACAGCATAGGGGATAGGAATGCATGTGGGGGAAGGAAACACAGAAGAGGTAACTACAGGGAGAGAGTGGTAAGAGAGCTGTTACATTGTGAGGAATTATAGTCAATGTCATGAGACAAAAGTGTATGAACTGCTGTATGGAAAATGAATTTGCTCTGTAAACTTTCACCCAAATCACAATTAAAAAATCCATTTAAAAATTGGAAAAAAAAAAAAGGAGTTGCTAGATTTTGGGAAAGCAGGGTCTTAGGTGGAAAGTCTTCTCTAAGGCTATATCCTCAGGATAGGTTCTTGTATGAGAGAAAGTTAAGCAGGTTTGGAAAGTTATAAAGGATCCTGGGCCTTGAAGCATTTAATTCAAAGTAAGTCATATACCTCATGCCTTTTTTTTGGTTTATTTTAATAAATCACTGTTTGCTGTGTAACAAACTATTATAAAATATCAAGAGCACTTAACAATATATTATGTATTTCTTGTTCATGTGTCTGTGGGCCAGCTGGAAAGGCTCTGCTTCAAACTGTGGTCAACTTCAGGTCTGTTCCAGTTGTCTCATTCTTGGACCCAAGTTGTACAGGTAGTGGGTACCTGGAGAATTTTCTCTCATAGTAGATCACTGAAGTATGAGGGTAGGCCCAACCACAAAAGCATATTTAAAGTCTCTTTACATCAGATCCATTAGCATTCCATTGACTAAAGTAAGTTACATGGCCAAGCCCAAGTCATGGGATACAGAAATACACTGTGTTCCCCAGAAGGCCAAGATAGACATGTGGACAAATAATTTAATTATATAAAAAAACTAAACTCACTGCTGTTACGTTGGATCCGACTCATAGTGACCCATCCTTGGGTTTCTGAGACAGTATCACTACGGAAATAAATTGCCCAATCTTGCTTCTGAGGAGTGGCTGGTGGGTTTGAACTGCCAGCCTTCTGATTAGCCATCAAATTATAGAGTGTCAAAAATTCAAACCAGTAATTCAGGCTACTCTGTGCTGTTAGTTCACAGTTTTTGTGTATATAGGTTATTTGGTGTGACAGAGGTAGAGTGTGTGTCATCTATACCATTGTCTGAAGTCCCATAGTGAATCAAAACCAGCATTAAACAGCAACAACAACAAAAGGAGTAAAATGGAAAATAACTAGAAAACATTGTTTGTAATAAAGTTAAATACAGATTTTTAAAAGTTTTTATTTCATTTATGTATGTGTGTGTTCCACCATTTGTCTATCAGTTTGTCATACTGTGGTGGCTTGTGTGTTGCTGTGATGCTGCAAGCTATACCACCAGTATTTCAAATACCAGCAAGTTCACATGTGGTGGACAAGTTTCAGTGGAGCTTCTACACTATGACAGACTAGGAAGAAGGTTGTGGCCAAGTCTACTTCTGTAAAAATTGGCCACTAAAAACCTTATGAATAGCAGGGAATCACTGTCTGATGATAGTGCCAGATGATGAGCCCCTGAGGTTGGAAGGTACTAAAAACATGACTGGGAAAGAGCTGCCTCCTCAAAGTATGTTGTTGTTAATATGCTGTTGAGTTGGACCCAACTCATAGTGACCCCTCCTTGGGTTTCCAAGGCGGTATCACTATGGAAGTAGATTGCCCAACCTTCCTTCCCAGGAGTGGCTGGTGGGTTTGAACCACCAGCCTTCTGGTTAGCAGTCAAGTGCCTTAGGCATTACGCTACCAGAGCTTCTAACCAGAAGGCTGGTGGTTCAAACCCACCAGCTACTCCTCGGAAAGAAGGTTAGGCAATCCAATTCCGTAGTGATACCGCCTTAGAAACCCAAGGTGGGGTTGCTATGAGTTGGGTCTGACTCGACGGCACATAATAGCATACCTTAAAGTACCAACCCAACTCATTGCCGTCGAGTCAGATCCAACTCATAGCAACCCTTCCTTGGGTTTCCAAGATGGTATCACTACAGAAGTAGATTGCCCAGTCATCCTTCTGAGGAGTGACTGGTGGGATTGAACTGCCAGCCTTCTGATTAGCAGTCAAATGCCTTAGGCACTGCGCTACCAGAGCTCTACTATTACTCAAATTTATGCACTGACCACTAAAGCCAAAGTTAAAGGAATTCAAGAATTTTACCAAGTTCCGCAGTCTGAAATTGAACTAATGTGCAAACCAGATGTACTGCTAATTACTGGTGATTGGAATGGGAATGCAAAAGTTGGAAACAAACAAGAATCGTCTGTAGTTGGAAAATACTGCTATGGTGATAGGAATGATTCCAGAGACCACATGATAGGATTTTGTCATACCAATGACTTACTCATTGCAAATACCTTTTTTCAACATCACAAATGGTAACTTACATGTGGATCTGGTGACATGGAACACACAGGAATCAAATTGACTACATCTGTGGAAAGAGGTGATGGAGAAGCTCAAGGTATCATCAGTCAGAACAAGACCAGGGGCAGACTGTGGAACAAACTACGAATTGCTCTTATGAAAATTTAAGTTGCAGCTGAAGAAAAGTAAAATAAGTCCATGAGAGCCAAAATACGACCTTGAGTATGTTGTTGTTGTTAGGTGCCATCGATTCATTTCCGATTCATTGTGACCCTGTGCACAGCAGAATGAAACACTGCCTGGTTCTTCGCCAGCCCCAAGCTCCTTGCTATACTTGCTCCCATCGCCGCAGCCATGGTGTCAGGCCATCTCTATGAGGCCCTTCCCCTCTTTTCTTGACCCTCCATCTTACCGAGCATGGCATCCTTCTCCAGGGAATGGTCCCTTCTTACAACATGACCAAAGTAGATGAGATGAAGTCTGGCCATTCTCACTTCCAAGGAGCATTCTGGCTACACTTCCTCCAAGACAGATTTATTAGATCTTTTAGCAGTCCATGGAACTTTTAGCATTCTTCACCAGCACCACAACTCAAAAGCATCAACTTTTCATCAGTCTTCCTTATTCATTGTCCAGCTCTCACATGCATATGAGGTGATTGAAAGTACCATGGCTCATGTCAGGTGCACCTTAGTCCTCAAGGAGACATCTTTGCTCTTCAGCACTTGAAAGAGGTCCTTTGCAGCTGATTTGCCCAGTGCTATACATCATCTGATGTCCTGACTGCTGCTTCCATTGACATTAATGTAGAACTAAGCAATGTGAAGTCTTTGACAACTTCAATCTTTTCTCCATTTATCATGATACACCTTATTGGTCCAGTTGTGAGGACTTTTGTTTTCTTTATATAGAAATATAATCCATACTGCAGACTGTATTCTTCATTTTTCATCAGTAAGTGCTTCAAGTCATCCTCACTTAAAGCAAGCAAAGTTGTGTCATCAGTGTATTGCAGGTTGTTAATGATTCTTCCTCCAATCCTGATGCCATGTTCTTCTTCATATAGTCCAGCTTCTCAGATTATTTGCTCAGCATGTAGATTGAGTAAGTATGGTGAAAGGATACAACTCTGACACACTCCCTTCTTGATTTTAAACCATGCAGTGTCCCCTTGTTCTGTTCGAATGGCAGCCTCCTAATCTGTGTACACATTCCTCATGAGTAAAATTACGTGTTCTGGAATTGCCATTCTTCTCAATGTTATCCATAATTTGTTATGATCCACACAATCAAATGCTTTTGCATAGTTAATAAAACATAAGGAAACATCTTTCTGGAATTCTTTTCTTTGAGCCAAGGTCCATCTGACACCAGCAATGGTATCCCTCGTTCCGTGTCCTCTTCTGAATCCAGCTTGCATTTCTGGAAGTTCTTTGTCAATATACTGCTGCAACCGTTTTTGAATTATCTTCAGTAAGACTTTACTTGCATGCGATATTAATGATATTGTTCTATAATTTCCACATTCTGTGGGATCACCTTTCTTTGGAATGGGTACAAATAAGGATCTCTTCCAGTCAGTTGGCCAGGTAGCTGTCTTCCAAATTCTTCCATATCTCTTGGCATAACTGAGTGAGTGCCTCTAGCGGGACATCCTTTTGTTGAAACATCTCAGT